AACAGCTCAGTTCTCCAGCCTGTGCCGTTGTGGGGTGGGGTGAGGAGGGGCAGCCTGGAGGGAGAGGAGAGGTTGGCAAACCTGTTCTCTGCAACAGGGATGGTTCAGGTTCCACGAAGCAGGTCTCCGGATGACCCAGCGCACTCCTGCTCCACCCTGGGCTTCATGCCAAGGGTCTCTCTGCTCAGTCCCAGGCAGGAGGAACAGGGACTTCCCAGGATCTCACCAAAACCCAGAGACGCTGTGATGGAGAAGAGGTCTCCGGGCACTTTCTAAGACTGGGTCAATTGCCTTGTATTGATCAACCTCCATCCCCGGGGCCAGGGATGGGGCCAGCTCTGGGGGAAATAGGTGTTACAGCCTGGCGTCCGAGGAGCTTGGGGTCTAGGTAGAATGACAAGAGAAAAGCAAACCCACAGAAGGGTGGGACGGTGTACCTGCTGCTGCTGCCGGAGGAAAGAATTAAGTGTGAGCTGGAGCAGTCACAGTGGCGGGGGACTCGGCCTGGAGGCTGCAGAATCATGACAATAGTGGGGATGATTATAATGGCTCCCACTGTACTATCTAAATCCTGATGACATCTGAATCCCACTTCACAGATGAGACGATCGGGGATCACAGAGGTAATGGCCCCAAGTAACCTAGCTGGTAAATGGCAGAAGCCCCTGAACCAAAAGCTGCCTCTAGAAGGAAAAGCTTCGGGCAGGCAGATGTCTGCCCAGGCACAGTGGCTGGCGCTGTCTTTTTAAATGTGAGCCACGCTGGAGGTCTGGCCCCAAGGGGCTGGCTGGCAGTGCTCTCAGAGGAGCAAGGCCTGCGTGTCCACTCCCCTTCTGGTACCTGGAGTCAGGCTTCTGTCCAGGGCCGGTTGGCTGACCGGTTGCAAGAGCCGGTGCTGTCTGTTGTCTCAGAAGGGCGGGTGGCCCGGCGGGGAGGCCAGGTGTCCTGCTGGGTGCAGCTGTTGGGCAGCATGGAGCCTGGAGCTGGGAGGGCGCCGCAGCCTGAGGCCTGGGCAAGCCCAGAGAAGCTGGAAGCTGTTGATGAGACTTGTGTCTGGCACCCGGAGCGAGCTGACAGCTTGTGGCACCTCCCAGCACTGAGGGAGAGATGGATGGATGAACAGTCCGTCAGTGGAAGGCCTGGACTCTGCCGCAGACTTGGGCTCAGAAATGTCTCTGAATGTCCCCCGCCCCGGGCACTGGGGCTGTGCTGGGAGTTGGGAGACCAGAGTCTCAATCCCAGCTCTGCCTCACATGCTGGGTGGCCTTGCGGGGGCCTCGTCCGCCCTCTGGGCCACAGTCCTCAGCAGATTGCTCTGAACCCCAAATGGAAGCACTGGGAAGAGTTAGGGAACAGAGAAGCTAATGTTCATCGTTGTGGATTTCCTGAAGAAAGGCAGCCACACACTGTGCTGGGGCCCCAGCAGAGGCCCACTAGGCGAGCCCATGCCACGCTCATAGTCCCGTGGAGTGGCTAAGAACTGGGTCTCTGGGACAGACAGCCCACAGTTCCAACCTAGGTCTGCCGCTAGACAGCTGAGTGACCTTGGACAGCTTTCTTAACTTCTCTGAGCCTCAAGTTCCTCATCTGTAAAATGGTACCCTCCCTTGGGGGGTTGTGAAGTAAGAGTGAGCCCATGCATGTAGCATGCTGAGTGCCAGGCACACTGGTGGAAATGGTAACCATGACTGCTGCTGGAAGCCAAGGGCGGCTCTCAGTGAGATGGGGGAGTCAGGTCCGTGTTTACAGGAAGGATGGAGAGAACGGGCCTTCGGGCTGCTGCTCCCCAGCACTGTTTACCCTGTGATCTTACACAGGTCACACAGGTAGGATCCTAGGCTGATGCCACCCTGCTCTTCAACCAGGGCCCCCACGAGAGCCTCACAGAGCCAGCGAGGCACAGCCTGGCTCATGGGCAAATCCTGCGGGCCAGGGGAGTTGTTCTGGGAGCATCTGTGCCTCCGGGGAAGGCATCGCGCTCTTCACTGGGTCTGACTCCCCACAAGTGTGCATCTCCGGGCCAAGCTCCCGTGTGTCTACTCGCCTAGCAGGGGTGTGCAAGGCCCTTGGCCATGGGCAGATTGAGGCCTGGAGTCTGGACACAACTCATTGGGCCAGATGTGGGCAGAGCCGGGCCAGGTGTACAGTGCCAGCTCCACAAGTAAAGGCGTGGCCTATCTCCCCTAGGAAGTGTCCCCCTAGTCCCCAGATAAAAAGGATCCCTCCCTCCCTTCTACATAGTAAAAACCAGTCCCCTCATAGCTCCTGCCATGGCTCTGGGCACTGAATCGCAGTCACTAACACACCTGCCACCTTGGGACTCCTCACATCACAGCATCGACATTTAGGGACTGTCCTGTGCACTATAGGATGTTTAGCAGCATCCCTGGTCTCTACCCACTAGATGACAGTAGCACCCCCCCCCAAGTGACAACCAAAAATGTCTCCAGACATTCCTAAATGTCCCCAGGGGGCAAAATCACCTGTGGTTGAGAATCAGCGGTTTACACAGCACTTCCACACCTTTGACCCTATTAGAACCACGTAACTTCTCCCCTCCCACTTTCAGAGGAGCGAGTCTGTATTCTTTTCAGCCCCACTTCAGAGGCCCAGAGGCGCAGTGACTTCCCCAAGGACATTCTGCACATCAGAAGCAGGATTGGAACTTGACTCGCTCCCACGTGTCCAGATCTCGTGGCTTTTATCCCCGCCCATGAAACTGTTTCATACTATGTATAACTGTAGCCCAGTCGTGTGGCTTCTCACCTCCACAGGTTATAAACATCTGGAGGCCCAGGCTATGGCACAGACACCTCTCAGCCTCCTCGTGGGGCCTGGCACATGTCTGACATGTAGCAGGTCCTCTCTTGATATTTGATGGATGAAGAGGGAAGGGCTGGTTCATTCCAGAGGGTTTTAAGCTGCTGTCAAATGGTGCCCTATCTTCAAAGACCTGGAGTCGAAGGGAGGCTCCGCTCTACTGCCCTGAGTCTCAGGGGATGCTAAGATGTTCCAAAGGTGTCAGGACATGTGGCCGTCACCCAGCAGATGCGCTGCTCTGCCTCAGCTCCTGGCTTGGGCAGACCCCGCAGAGCCAGGCTGAGCGCCTTCTCCCCCTCTGCCTCCACTGCAGGGCCCCAGGACCAGGCTCTGCCCGAGGGGTTTGTTCAGGCGGCAGTCACGACCCAGCTGTCTGTTATGGTTTGACTTTCTTCCCCAACCCTGGATTAGCAATTGAGCAACTCAGCAAGCATCTGACAAGACAGTGCTCCCCAAACCTGTTGAAACTCGCCCAACTTGGGCCCTGTGGGTGCATTTGGAAAGCTGAGCATTTGCACCAAGCCTCCTCTCCTTGCTCCTCCCTCTGGAAAGAAGGGCATGGCCTGAGCCAACCGGGCACAGAGTTAGCCAGGGAGCCGCTGACGGGGGTGACGGCTGCCCGCCATCGGCCCCTCCAGTCACCCCCACTCCAAAGGAGCTTGCAAGAGCCGCCGCTTTCACTCGGCAAACTCAGCTGGGAGGTGGAGCTGTGACCCCGTGGTTGCTGTCCAGATTTCCACAGGAGTTGCCAGGTTTTATCTCTGAGTCCTGAACTGCATCTTCTGTGATTCGGCCAAACCCGCGAGAAGGCTCGCTCCCTGCCGTGACCCCACCAGCTCCCCCTTTCCCCATCCAAACCCCTCCCCACCTCCCCCATCTCCTGGCAAACTTGAAACCAAACTATGTTTTACAAGTTCCCCAGCCAAGTCAGAACCCCCGCGGTGGAGGGGACCTGGTCCGAGAAGGCAGGGGGTGGGAGGTGGTGGAAGGGGGGGCTCCCGTCCCAGCAGGGAAGGAACCTCCCAAGAGCTCGCAGCTCACGGGGGAGCTTTGGAGAGGCCCCTCAGAAGCAGCAGGAAATTGCTGATGAGACCAGAGGGGCCTTTTTCCTGCTGTGACTCTGAATGGTCCTTTCAGACCCTATTTCTCACTCTGTTCACACACAAGTCCTATCATAGCAGGATTGGGTCCCAGGAACGCTGCCCCAAGAGCTGGAGACAGCAGGGTATTCCTCTTGAGTCAGGGGTGCCCAGCTGTCCTGGCCCCCAGGCATCCAGGACTGACTCACAGACCTCACGGTTAGAGGGGCTCTCAGGGATGATCAGCTCAACCCCCTCCCTGTTCAATCATGTCAAACGCTGACTTGTCAAGACCTACTCCATCAGGCACTGTGAGAGGCACTTGGGGGTCACCCAGCATATTGGTGGTAGAGCCAGAACTCCATCCCAGGTCTGCCGACTGTCCTCTCAGAACTGCCCCTGCCACAGATGAAAGCAGACCTGCAGCTCCATACCCTGAGCCAGTCATTCTCTGCTGCAGGTGATGAGCAGGGGGAGCGAGGAAGGAACCAAGGTTTTCCCATCTGCCCTGCTGGGGTGCGGGTGCAGGTTTGGCCACAGGCTCTCCCAGGATTAGGCCTTCAGATGGGATCCACCAAGGCCGAGGAACTCACTGGAAACCCAGAGGTGCCAGAGCATGAGCCTCACTCAGGAAGCCAGCACTGGCCCTGGACAGCTCAGCTGGGTTCCCCTGTCCCTCCCGCTCCCCAGCCCGGGGCTCCCCCAGCTGAGCTGGGGATGACAGTACAACGGTTCAGTGGCCACCAGGACAAGGAAGGCACTCTGGGGACAAAGGCTGGGTGAGTCTCCTCAAGGGAGAAGCTCTCTGATGGCAAACTTGGGGGCAAGGCAAGATCAGGAAGTGCCCTAAATCCGACACCCACTCACCCCTCAACCACACCTGCCCCAGGGAGAGAAGGGAAATTCCTACCTCATGGCACAGCTCTGAGGCCCTCCAGGCTCAGGTCTGAGTGGCTAATTCCTGGCCCCGAGTCAGCGAGCAACTCTACTGGGAACAAATACTGTGAGATGGGAAGTGGGGGGTGGGGGGGCTCCCAAACAGGAAGTAGGGGACACAGAGCCCTCAGGAATGAAATGTGGGGAGCTGGGCACCAGGGCACTGGGCATAATAGAAACTAGGGAGCCAAGAGACAGAATATGGGGGTGCTGAGGTTTCTGAGGATGGGAGCAAAGGGAGATAGGGATCCCAGGAGCCAGGAGGGGAATAGTGCTCTAAGGTATAGGAGTCAGGGCTTGGGGCCCAGAGGCCATCATTTTCCCCCAACTGAGAAAATGCGCTTGAGACGAAGTGAACTGGACCCACGCATTGAGAACTCTAGCGCTATGCTAAAGCTGGGGCAAAGGCAGAGTGGAGGCAACACCCACCACCCCACAACCACTGGGAGTGTCTCCAAGGCCAGCTGCTGCTCCCTAGCTTCCCCTCCAGGGGTGTCAGGCCAGTGGCAGCAACTCTTTCCCTGGCCCCCGAAGCTGCAGAGACCACAGGCCCAGACACAGTTCAGGCAGCCACAGAACCACTGAGACAGCTCCCTCCCCAGCACCCCTCCCTCCGGAAAGAAGCCCAGACACATCCGTTGTAGTTCAGAAACGACCTAGGGCTCCAGAAAGACTCAGTCAGTGGGAGAATGAAGCCCCTTTCCTCAAGTCATTGTCTTTTGATGCCAAACCATCATGCCCTCGGTACCCTGGGCCATCTTTGGAGCCTGACAGCCAGCCCAGGCTTAGGAGACAGAGTGACCTGTTTTCAAATCTTGACCATCCCTGACTGGGTGCATGGCCTTCAACATGCGCTTCTCTGAGCCTCACTTTCCTCCTCTGTAGAATGGAGGGGTGATGCCTGCCTGGGCAACCCTACATGGTTGCAATAAGGATATATTAAAACATGCAACTATTGCTGGAAAAGCACAAGTGACAGGGGACATAAGGTCCCTCCCTTCCTGTCATCTAGTCCCACAAATGGTTCCCAAGTCCCCTGGGCACACCTGAGCTTGTCCTGGACCCGCCCTCCCTGCTCTCCCCCACCCCAGGGTCCCCAGCTCCTGATCCAACAGCACCATCCCCCCTCCATCCCATCTCTTGTACTTCCAGTCCTTGGAGGGTCCACCTGATGGGCCACAATCACTGATGGGCCAGAAAAACATGCTCTAACTCTGCATGCTCCGTCTGGAGATTCCACCAAAAATCTGCACTTGGGATGGAGGCCGAGGTGATCCACTGCTCCCGATGGGAGTGGTCCACCCCGCAGTGTGCTCAGCTGAAAAAAGGGTTGGGAACCCAGGTCTAAGAGAGCTGACGGAGCCAAGCAAAAGAAGAGAAACGAGCAGAACCGGTCTGGGGTCCAGCAGAGTCCAGCTTGGGGGTTCAGCTCAGGGGCATGAAGAGTCTTTGAGATGGCAGTGAAGATGATTCCCATGATGGTAAACGTCTCAATGTTGATGATAAGATACTAACGTTGCCAACAGGGGAAGATGCCCACCATATGGCCATTTAATTCATTTAAGCCTCCTGAGTTGGGAACTATTAACCTCTCCATTCTTTAGATGAAGACACTGAGACTCAGAGATGCTCAGTAACTTCCCTCAGGGAACACAGGGATGGGATTCTGACTCAGTCTGTCTCCCTTGCACAGTGCACCACACTGCCTGCCGTGCTGAGGGATGAGAGTCTCCGGACAGGGGCACCATGGGACAGAGGACAGCAGGATCCTAAGACCATGGGTACAGAAATGTTAAAAGGTCTGAAAACAATTAGGGGGCATGATAAGGATCTTGGGGAGCCAGCTGCCGCCCACCCCCATGGGAACACGGTCCTGGATGGGGTCTGGTCCCCCTCACGCTCCCCTGGCCGCCCGCGTCTCCCAAGGCGGCTCACTCCTCAGCAGGCGCTCCGCTTCCTTCCGGCTCCTCCTCCCACCCGTTGGCCTCCTTCCTCCCTGGTGAGGAGGCTCTAAATGTGGCCCAGGCAGGCAGGGAGGCCAGAGGGAGGGGACAGAGAGGCCTGGGCTGGCGTCCCAGCCCCCACCTGGACACCCGCGGGGCCAGGACCCATGACACTGATCTGCTTGGCCTCCCAAACGCTCCAGCTATTTCCCGTCTCCTCTCCTCTTGACGCGCAGAGTAAGAACCGGGGAGGAGTCGGAGAGGTGCGGATTTTCCTCTAGGAATTTGTATATTTTTTTTAAAAAGCAAGCAAACCTGGAAAAGCTTGGGACAAGCCCAGCTAATTTTAGTTTCTAATGAAAACAGCAGGTGGCTGAGAGGATCTGATCTCCCTGGCAGGGCCAGGGCCCTCCAGCCTTGCGAGCTGCAGGCACGGGCCGGGCGTGGGGAGGGCCTCCTGGGAGGAGCCTGAGGGACCTGCAGCCCCTGGACAAGACCGGGGCACGAGCTGGCTGGCAGCGGCAGCAGGGCAGCCTGGGCTGGCAGGGTAACATGATCGATGGCACAGCGGTGGCTGGAGTCCTGGGTGGCCGGGGCAGCAGGTGGCAAATTGCGAAGCCTGTACTCAGCAGTGGCAGGAAGAAGCTTAAATTGGGGCAATGCGACAGAACGGGAAAAGAAGCAGGGATGGTTACGGCCCTCCACAGGCCAGCCCGGCCCAGCAGCGGCTGACACGGATCACACCCAGGTTCTCTGTCTCCCCCAGAAATGGCTGTGCAATCGACACTGGAGCCCAGCCCAGCTCCAGGTCTGCAAGGGGAATGCGTGTCTCTGGGGGAAAGGTTGAGCCACCTTAGGGTGCGAGGAGGGGATTCCTGAGGCCCCCAGGATCAGTTGGGCCAACCCCCTCAGGGTCTCCAAGCCCTCAGCAGACTGAAAGGCAAAGGCAGCCCCATTCTCCCCCCTCACCCCCTGCTTCCCTACCTAAGCACTCTGCCAGGAGGTGAGCAGAGGCGACCCGGTCAGGACAGAGCCCCCCATTCACGCTGCAAGCATTTCTGCACACCTTCTACGTGCTGCTCCCTGTGCTGGGCACTGAGGAGGCCACAGGCTGGACGTGACGCCGAGGGTGGCATCAGCCTCCTGCAGCTGTCAAACAGAGCAGATCCACACCAGGGTACAGGGCAAAGAGAGTTCCCAGTCAGAGCGGGGTTTGCATTCTAACTTTGCCGCACGCTAGCTGTGTGACTTTGGGTGAGTTACTCCACCTCTCTAGGCCTCGGTTTGCTCATCTGTAAAATGAGGCTAGCACCCTAACTGGACACCAGACAAGCAAGTAGTGCAAGCAACAGCCTGTGAGGCCTAGTGTCCTAACTCCCTCCACCCCCCTCCCAGCTCCATTTCCAGCTCTGGCACCCAGCGCTTCCCAGGCAAGACCCTGGGACCTGGGGGAAGTGGAACGGGGGTGGAGCTCTGCCTCCTGTGGCATGGGAGAGGACAGCTGTTGGGCCAGATGAAGGCAGGGGCTGGGGGTAGTGGGCATTGGTGCCAGCGTAGGAGCAGGGACGCTCCTTAGCAGAAGAGGTTTCTCGGCTTCTTCCTGGAAGCTGTCCCAGTGACTCACGGGCATGGCAGCCCAGCAGCTCACCCCTCAGTCCCTGCTGCTGTCGTTGCAGCCCGTCTCCCCTCGTGGAGTTTGGAGCCTGGGGGAGAGGGAGCGGGTGGCTCCTCGGGTGCATCTCATTCCTCCTGCAACGGCAGGGGCTCCATCTATCAGCCCGCCATGGGGCCAGGAGGCCTTTGAGGCTTAGACCCCCTCTGCAATCCCAGTTTGTAGAAGGAAGACAGCGGGAAAGGCCACACAGACCCACTAGTTTATTGAACCCAGGGAGACAGGCTCCAACAGGGGCAGGGACTTGCCCAAGGTCACACAGTGCGTTGGTGGCTCAGCCAGGCCTCCCCAGCCTGCTCCTCCTGCCCAGAGAACGCTTGCCCTTGAATACCTCCCCTCGTGAGAAGCCAGGAGCCAGCACAGCCTGACCTGGCCCTTGGCCGGCTGCAGAAGGAGCAGAGGCTGAGATGGGGACAAGCCAGCTCTGTTCCCCCATGTCACAGAGGGGATTGGGCCCCCTCCCCTTCTAAAGGAGGCCAGCCCTGGGTCTGAGCAGGAAAGGATCCAACTTGAAGCCCAGCTCCTTGTCCCCTCACCCGTGGCCTCCCAAGTGTGGACCTGGCCCATGGCCAGTAGCTGGGCTCTTGGCGCCCCCTGCAGGCCAAGAGCGCCAGGTGGGACTAGCTCCACAGAGGACCCCTTGCCTCATCGTCCGAGGCAGAGGGGCATGCAGGCAGGGTTGAGGAGCAAGGTTGGGCCCCTCCCCTTCCATATGCACCCTCTCCCTGCCCCTCAGCCATCTTCCTGCCGTTGTCTCACCTCTGAGAGGCTCAGGCTCCTGCCCAGACACTACCAGTCTCTGCGTCCCCTAGGCAGGACCTGGTAGAGACGTCAGGGAGGCCCCCGGGAGGCAAGCAATGGGGGGGGGGGAATTGGGGTGCCTCAGCCAGAGACCCCCCACCTCCCACTCGCTCCTGCTGCCCTGGAAGGGAGAGATCCTGCGGTTAGGACACACCTACAATGTGCCCAGCTGAGACCAGGTGCAGCAGCCACATCAGATCACGCTAACTTCTCACAGTAGCCCTCTAGGATAGGAACCATTATCTCCATTTCTAGACGAAGAAAGCCAGACTCAGGCCCCACAGCCAGCGGCTGATGCAGCAGAGAAGAAGAGAGTGGGTCCCGGAATCAGATCTCCCTGGGACTTAGAAGGAAACATCACCAGTGGTTACTCAAGAGCTTCTCCTAAAGTGCTCTCCAGGCCAGCACAGCCTGGCTTCACAGCTGCTCCTGGAAATGGGTTAAAAGGCCAGATGCCCACCAAGACCCACCTGGAGCGAGGCCCAGCCACCTGCGCTTTCACCAAGCCCCACAAATGTTTCTGTGCACAGTCAGATTTGAGAACCATCACTCTGGTCCAACCCACAGGCCTGACTAATAGAATCCAGCTGCTGCTTGCACACCTCTGGGGATGGAGAGCTCAGCAACCACTAGGCAGCCCACCATCTGTACCTTGGCAGCATCCTTAGGTGGAACGAACCCAGCTCCTAGCAGCTTCCGCCCACTCGTGTCAATTCTAGTCTTTGAGCCGCATAAAAGGCGGCTCTTTGTCTCTACCAAAGGCTTTGAAGTCCAGCAAAGCCAGGTTCAAGTCCTGGCTCCACCTCTTACTGGCTGTGTGACCTTGTGCACAAGGCAAATTGCTTAACCTGTCTGTGTCTCAGTGTCCTCCTCTATAAAACAGGGGTTCGTTGGCTTGCTGAGAGGATAAATGCAATAATGTCAGTGAAGTACGTAGCCCAGTCCTGACTAAGTTCCATAACAGTCGGCTCTTCTTATCATCGTCATAAACATTTCCCATATTTAATTTTTTGTGTATTTTTCTATTTGGTCAATATTCATGCATTTACTCCTTCATTCAACAAACAGATGTGGAGTTCCTGCCCGTTGCCTCGGCCCCGTGTCGGGCCATCTTTCACACACAGCATCCCTTTTGCTCTGACAATAGGCCCCTGACTGAGTTGGGAGCAGTGGTGTCTTCCCCACCTTACAGATGGGGAAACTGTCCCAGAGAGCAGTGACCTTCCTCCTCCATCCTTCTTCGGACGAGAACCTTGTGCAGCTTCCCTTCTAGGATTCAGTGGCCTCTTCACCTCCCCCCTAGAAAGCACCCCCTCAGACCCAGTTTGCAGGCCAAGCCCCAGGGTGGGGGGGGTGCTGGTTCACTGTAGAGTCAGGAACAGCAGGACTCTGGCTCTCTTGTTCAGAGCTGCTGATCTGTGTGGCTGAGGCTGAGGGTAGAGCCAGGGTCTGAGTTCCCTCCTGGGAGGCAGTGGGAAGGCCCCTTTCCCTCTCTGTGCTCACCTGTAAAATGAGGGTCTGAACCAGACCACCTGTCAGGGAATGTTGCTGAAGTTTGTGATTCTCCGCACTCTGCTGCTCCTCCAAGAACCTGGAAGGCAGCCCCGGCAGCCCTGCCCTGGGAGGTGAGCAGATGCATCTCCCTCTGAACAGCTGGGAAGGGAGGCAGGAGGAGAGGAGTCACCACTCAGCTCTCCTCCCACCATCGGGCTGCCACTTGTGTGCCTACTATGTGCACTTGGCCCTGGCCAGGGACACCGGGGGTGGGGGCGGCGGCTGAAGGACAGTGGTTGGAATACAAGTTGTGGGGTCATCTGGATCTGGGCTCCAATCCAGGTCTGTCCTCACAAGCCAGGTGACATTGAGCCGGTCATTTCACCCCTCTGAAACCTACCTGGCACTTAGTAGGTGCTCAGTTAATGCACACCTCCTTCCGGTGAAGACCACTTCTTCCTCACAGGGCCTTTCTCCGGCTCTGTTCCTACCTCAGCGAGCAATTCTTGTCTTGCCCCGGACCTCCTTGCCTCCTGGCCCAGAGCTCAAAGTGCCCACCCTTAGGCGGGGCCGAGGCTTCCCAGGCCCCTCAACCTGCCACGGAGGAGGACAGGCAGGAGGAAGGGTTTACAGGCTTTGAAGCTCGGCTCTGGCACTTGTTATCTGTGTGACCTTGGGCACATCATCTTCTTAGCCTTCATTTTGGAATCCATAAAATGGGCATGATAATTATCACTTCATAGATTTGGGGTGAGGATGCAACAGGATGAAGTGTGCGCCACTGTGCACGGCACACGGTAGGTGTTCATGAACTGTGGTGCTCTCTCCCGTCCTCCGCTGAAATGGGTTCATTAAAGCTCCTTCTCCCCACGTGTGTCTGCTCCCAGAGCACCTTGACATCAATTACCTCATCTAGACTGTGATCCTCGCTATAACCCTATGAAGTGAGCCAGAATTGGTGCCCCATTTTCAGGCTGAAAAAACTCCAGGGGCTGAGGGGAGAGCCTGGCACACTTTGTTTTTGAAGTCCCCAGCCCCCACCACTCCCTGTGTACTGACCATCCCTTGTCCCCAGCCCTTCACTGCCTTCACTGTCCCACCCGCAAGGGCTGCAGCACTGATGCTGGTTTCCATCTGGTGGCCCTGGGATGCGGCTGGCAGTGAGGATCTTGACCTTATAGGTGGGCTTAGGTCACTGGGGTCCCTGCCTGGGAGTGGGGAAAGAGAGACGCCAGGACAGACAGTGGCTCCAGCCTCCTAGCTCAAGGGCATCCTCGACATGAAGGGGTTGAGTCAGGGGCCAGGTCTGGGGTAACATTAAGGCACAGACACTAGTGCAGGGGCCACCCGGGGCAGGGAGGGATCCCATGGGGCCTCTATCAGCTTCTCTCCCAGGGTGCTGTCTGCTTCAGCAGACTCGAGGTGGAGGCCTTCTTGTGCAAGACAGCACTCCCCTCTCCAGCCCCAAGAGCCGGGCAACAGTGCCTGTCACTGGATCCAGAGAAGTTGACCACCAGGACCCCTCTCAGGGACAAGTCAGTTCTCAGAGACCTGGGCTGGGCACGGGCTCGTTCTGGGAGTGGAAAGAGGAGGGAAGGGGCCCTGCACTCCATCCCACCCCCACCATCCTCTCCCTAGGTACCTGGCCAAGCTGTCATCGGTGGGGAGCATCTCCGAGGAGGAGACCTGCGAGAAGCTCAAGGGTCTGATTCAGAGGCAGGTGCAGATGTGCAAGCGGAACCTGGAGGTGATGGACTCCGTGCGCCGCGGCGCCCAGCTGGCCATCGAGGAGTGCCAGTACCAGTTCCGGAACCGGCGCTGGAACTGCTCCACGCTCGACTCCCTGCCCGTCTTCGGCAAGGTGGTGACGCAAGGTGAGGGAGGGGCTCGTGGGGGGCCGCTGGGGGAGTCAGCGGTGCTGGGGTGTGGGCCCCGGGCCAGGGGATCCCGGGCGAGACCACATTTCCTTGGGTGGGGAATGCTTGTGAGTGGCCGGACAAATTATTCTGTCATTTATCAAGTGAAAACAGCACTCTGCTCAGGCGAGGGCATAAAGAATGCAGGGAGAGGGGCAGGATCCAGGCGGGCCGAATCTGAGGTGGGAGGGCCAGCAGAGGGGATGCTGTTCTTTGTGCTGAGCAGCACTCAACAGTGTGCAGTGTTTCCACACTGGAGCTCCCACCCCCATTTTACAGAGGAAGAAACTGAGGCGCAGGCAGAGAAAAGGATGGAGTGGCCAGGGCTCCTCAGAGGGTGGACAGCAGAATCAGAGTTCAGGCTGGGACTCCAGACCCCCAGCCCCATGCTGTTTCCACCTTAGCACTGGGCCTCCTGTATGCAAGCTAAGCCGTCTCACCTGTCTGCACCTTTGACGAACCACATTGAGAGGGTCACCATGCCCACCCAGCCTGAGACACAGGGAAGCGCAGCGCCAGCTCCTCCCCTCCCGGGCTCCCAGTCCAGTTGACAGCCACCACTCAGGAGGGGTAGTGGCTTACACACCAATAGCACTAACTAGGGACCAGGCACTTTTTCAAGTGTTTTAAGTAATATTAACTCATCTGGCCCTTTGAGATAGGCCTCCACATTGCAAATGAAGAAACTGAGGCATGCAGAGAGGTTAAGTAACTTGCCCAAGGTCACAGAACTAGAAGGTGGCAGAGCCAGAACTTGAACCCATGCAATCCAGCTCCAGGGTCTTGCTCTTGCCCACCATGAGAAAGTACTGTGATGGAGGGGTCATGGGGGCCTTGGGTGCACAAGGGTGGACTCCTCCTCTGGCCAGGCTGGGTGCTCAGAGAAAGCTTTCCCGAGTAGGTAGGCCCACAGCTCGGACCAGAAATATGAGAGGGCATTAAGACAGAGGAAGGTGGGCCAAGGCCTAGAGAACGTTCCATGCAACTGGAAGGCTCCTTGAGAGGTCACTGGGTCAAGCCGCTGCCCTCGAGGAAGTGCTCTGAACCTGCTGCCCTCTTTCTACTTCCTGAGCATGAAACTGACACTCCCAAGCCACCGGCAGCCGACAGGGCCCTTTGACTTGCTCAGGCAGCAGGAAGGCATTGCCTGGGCCAACCTTTGTCTTGGCACCTGTGGTCCTGGACGGCTACGGCTGCTCGGCTGCGGCAAACCGTTTGGATGTTGTTGGAAACCAACTGTGATAGAAATTTGGAAGCCATTCTCCTGGGAGTTGGCAGAGGCCAAAAAGGCAGGATCATGCTTGGCATTACTGAACATCGCTGCTCCGGAGAAGAAGCAGAGACCCAGTGAGCAGCCTGGGAGCGGAGGCATTCCAGGGACAATAGTGCCAATGCCCAGGGCCCAGGGATGCCTGGTTTGGTGAGGCCCGGATGCTAGGCTCCAGCAACAGACCCTGAGCACAGGAAGCCCCTTGCACACAGTAGGTGTGCGGCGTCTTAGAGGGACTGGTGGATAGGTCAGCAGGGTTTCACGCGCCAGGCCCTTCCACACCCCCATGCCTTTGCACTTGCTTGTTCCTCTGCCCCAAATACCCACCCTCTTTCTCCCCCAGCTCAGCAGCTCCCTCCTCCACAGTTTCCCAGCCCCGTAAGCAGGTGGTTGCTTTGTCCTCTGGGCTCCGAAGCTGTTTGTTCATGCTGGGGGGTTGTCCCCTTTTTTGGTAATTTTTGGTTCTGATATAATTTCAGACTCACAGAAAGGTTGCAAAAATGCTACAATGAATTCCCGTATACTCTTTTCATCTCTAGGTGATGGGTTTATTCAGTTGGCTACTTTTGCTTTCTTCTTTTTTTTTACTGAGGTATAATTAACATACAACATTATATTAGTGTCAGGTGTACAACATAATGATTCTATATTTGTATATATTATGAAATGGTCACCACAAGAAGTCTACTTAACATCCATCACCACACAGAGTACAAAATTTTTTTCTTGTGATGAGCACGTTTAAGATCTACTCTCTTAGCAACTTTAAATATGCCATACGGTATTATTAACTATAGTCACCATGCTGTACGTTACATCCTCATGCTTTATTTATTTTGTAACTGGAAGTTTGTACCTTTTGACCCTCTTCAGCCATTTCGCCTATCCCCCCACCCCCATCTCTGGCAACCACCAGTCTGTTCTCTATATCTATGGGCTTGGTTTTTCCTATGAGGAATTCCCATATACTCTTTAGCTGGACTCACCAAGTGTTTACATTTTAACCCATTTGCCTTATCAATTTCTCTCTCTCCCTTTCTCTCTCTCTCTCCCCTTAATACACACGCACGCACTTTGTCTAAACCATTTGTGTTCACAGCTTTTATTACACCTTCTAGACTGAACTGTGATATCTCTCTCCACCACTCCCCTCCCCCATCCCTAAGACTTGAACTCTTCCGAGGCAAGGATGGTGTCTCATTTACCTGTCTCCCAGCATGTGCAGAGTCTGACTTGGAGGAGACAATCAGTGGATGTCATCCTATGACAGAAAGCAAGTCAGGGAAAGGACTCAAAGGGGCAAAGAAGGTCAGGCATGGGTCAGTGCTGGCCTTAAGCCAGTGAGGGACCCCGTTGAGAAGTGCCTTCCTCACCTGTGTTTGCGGCCGGAACCAAGGAGGGGGCCAGCCCTGGCTCAGCAAGTTCTGGGAGATGCTGAGAATCCTACCAGGCTTGGCTGGAACCTGCTCCGGACTACAGTCTGAGTGGCCTGGTCAAGCGTCCCGTCCCCTTGGAGCTGGGTCAAGATACGCTCACACCAAGCCAGCCACACCGGGCAGATGTCAATCGTGTTTGGAGGAGGAATCTGAGCTCTTCCCTTCCTTCCATCTCCTCGCTTTTCTATTTTTCGTTTTCCTCTTGGAAAAGTCTTAGTTTGTCTCCACTGAACAAGAGAAGAGCCTTGTCCATCCCAAGGCCTGAGGGCACAGCGCTGCTCTCTGAAAGCCCGGGGTTGACGAGGCAGCTGGACCAAGAGCATGGGCAAGCACGACCTTGGGCGAGTGACCTCCCCCGCTGAGCTGCAGCGTCCTCACCGATCAATGAGACCAGCACATGTGCTTACCTCACACGGTCATGGAGGTTCAGTGACGTGATGCATGGCAGCACTTAGACCTGAGAAGAGCCGTCTGTCATCAGCAGGTGCTGTCGTTTTTGGTGGCAGCAGCAGCAGCTGGTCCAGGCAGGCCTCTCTCGCAGCCCCCAGCTTTCGGGGTTAGGGGGCTTGGCCAGTGCCAATTCATGAGCTGCCTGGCTGGGGTCACGACCTCAGACATGGAAAGGTTGTAGCTAACAGCTCCTCCCCAGGAGCCAGGCCATACTTGGAGAAGAGAATGAGACCCCATTTATTGAGGACATCCTGTGTGCTGTCTTGCTTCAGGTCACCCTCACGACAATTCTGTGTGCGTAGTATTGTTCCCATTTTACAGATAAGAAAGGAGACTCAGCAAGCAGAGGGTGGTGACACCCTCAGATCCAGGACCTGCCAACTCCTGCCTGTGAGATCTTGAGCAAGGTCCTTCCCCTCTCCTAGCCTCAGCTTCCTCCTCCCTATAAAGTGGGGACCATCCCAGGACCAGCCTCCTGGGATTCCCATGAGGATTCAGAGAGACGCAGCTCTGAAGGGCTGATTCCCACAGAGACCCCCAGGGAGGGGGCAGCTCTCTTCCTGCTAGCATTGCCCGACGTCTCATAGCCTCCACCCCCAAGCAGTGGAGGCCACCCTGCTCCTGGCCTACTGAGGACAGGGAAATAATGGTGACTGCTGAGGACGATATGTAAGTTAGGGCCAAACTGCGTGCTCTAGGCTTAAATTTGGTCAAATTGGCATCTGGGGCAGTGTCTGTGCGTTAGTCCCTACTGGATCCCAATGCAGAGCAGAGCCTGCACCTGGGGGTTAACTGGTAAATACCTGCTGAATGACAGGAAAGGGTCTGAGGGTGGGAGGGAGAGGCCGTAGAGCCTGGCGAAGGTTCAAGGTCACAGGGAGCAGGTCATGCTGGCTCCGAGTGGGCCAGCCTGAGCAGGATGGGAGGCCAGAGCGGCAACCCCGACTCCTCTTCTCCTGCTCCCTTCTTCTGTAGATAGCACGGGGTCGCCTCTGCCTCTTCACATCCGCCTCTGTGACCCTGTCCCGAGAGGGGACTTCCTGAACCCCGAGGCCCATTTGGGCTCTGGCTGCCATGGCTGGGAGGCAGTGTGGTGTACTGGCCGTAGCAAAGCGGAGACTGACCCCAGGCCTGTCCTTCCACTCCCCCGTGTCTAACGTCTAGGACGCCTCACTGACCATAACATCAGGCTGGATTGAAGAAGTGAGTGCTTCTCAGTCCTGGGCTGTGGCTCACTAAAACCTGTGTTCTCCCCTTTGTCCTCAATGTCGGCATCATGTTGGACCCAGGGAGGGAGAGACCGGGCCTTCCTTCGGGGCAACCTCTCGGGCCAGTCTTTTGGTGCCATCAGATAAGTTACAGGAAGTCTGGGAGGGGGCACCCCAGAGGCGCTCTGCCAGTGGGAGTTCCTTGAGGAAACATTTTCCTCGGTGTCCCTCGTGTGCAGCATAGGGCCTCGCTCACAGCAGGCGATCAATAAATGTTTGGAGAGGGAGCGGCAAGGGAGGAGTCCTCTGCCCTAAGGAAGCTTTAGCCCAATGACAAGACGTAGTCAACTGACGGACCCTCAGAGTGTCAGTGCCCCACCAACATTTGCTAGAAAATGAATTAAATGGCATTAATCAGCCGACTGTAGTACAACGGCCACTGTGTCTCGAGCGCCTGCTGTGTGCCAGCGGCTGCACGCAGGACTTCCTGTATTTTACCCCTTAGATTGTCATAACCACCTGATGAGGTCAGTACCATGATCAGCCCCATTCTCTGGACAAGAGAACTGAAATCACACCTCTAGGAAGTGGTGGAGCAGGGACTGGATCTCAGGCCTGCCCGGCTGAGTGGCCAGGCTCTTCCCCAATACCCACCCCTGGCTCCAAGTAGCTGTGAAGCGTCTGCTCCGTGCCCAGTGCTCCTGTTCCATGCTACCTAGGGGGCAGAGGAGAAGGATGAGGGACAGCCGGGCCCCAGGAGGTTCCAGTCTGGCTGCAGAGGCCAGACAAACACACAAAACACTTAGAAGATAAAATGGTTTTCGGCTCGATTCTGACTGCTTGTGGCAGGTAGGCCAGCGAGAACGCCGCAGTCCCGGAGGTCCGTGAGGGTGGGAGGGAGACACGGGAGAAGTGCTAGGGTCTGCCTGCCAGGCAGCATTGCTATCCCCATGTGAGAGCTGGGAAAATGAGGCCCAGAGAGGAAGGTCCCACCACTGCTACAAGTCTTACAGCTGTGTCCAGCTCCAGAGCCGTTACTCTTTCCCTGTCCTACATTGTCTCTTAAATCCAAAGAGGCTTCCCAGAGGTGGTTTCAAGAAAAGGTGAGATTTTGCAGATAAGAGAGCAAAGGAAACTGGAAAGGCCAGCTAGGGGCAGGGATGGGAGAGGACGGGGGACAATGTCTTTCTCAGAGACCAGAGCCTGTCTTGCCCCCCCCACCAGGACTCCCGCTGGGCCTGCCTTGAAAACATGGGAGTTCTGCTCAGAACAGCACTTTCCTCAGGACACCCGCCTGGTTCCCAGGGGATCACCACGCCATGGCTTCCCTTCCAGCCCAACTCAGCCTCAGCTGATGCCCCTCCAAACACTCCTTCCTGCTCAAACATCCTTCCTTCCAACATCGGGAGAGACATTGTATGCAATGGGCTAAGAAGAGCACGGGCCTGGAGTCAGACAGGCCTTGATTCCAATGTCTACGTGGCCACTGACTGGCTGAGGGACCCTAGATGAGCCCCTGAGCCTCACTTTTTCAAACTCCATAGAGCAGAGCTGGAGAGAGCTGGTTGCTAAGGTGGTCATGAGCCTTAGATGACATATGGAAAGGCCCTGGCACATAGTAGGCCCTCTGGATGCACAGGACAACTCTGGATTCCCAGCCCCAGGCAGCCTTAGCATTTTGGAAAAGATGGCATTGAGGCGGGACCCAGAGGACACGCAGGATTTAGACCAGTGGAGCCAGGGAAGGAGGCACTATGAGAAGAAGAAAGAGCAGGAAGAAAGGAGTTGGGTGTGGGATGGAGCAAATGGCTTTATAGAAAAGGCAGAAGGTTGTAGGGCAGCTGCTGGCATCTGAACAAGCTCTGCCTTACCTGGCCCAGCTCTGCTGTCCCAGGAGGACGAAGCCAGGACAGTCTTCCCCCTGCAGCTGGAGTAGGCAACCCCCCTGACCTGGGAGCAGTTATCTACCACGTCGCTGGGGAACTCCCCTCTGCTACATTTGCAGGTGCACCACTACCCTTTTTCTATGTCCCACAGTCTCTGCCAGATGCCCAGCGAGCAAGGCTTCAGCCTGGGCCCCCAGGCAAAGAGGAAGAGCCAGGAGGAGCCACAGCACTGGAGTCGAAGTGCTGGGACCCAGAGCCAGTTAGAAAAGGCTGGAGAAATCACTGCCATTGGTTTTAGGGACATGGTGGCTTGGCCACATTCGCCAGGCCTTCTGGGGCCTCATGTGCTGGGCACAGGCCAACTGCCCACCATTCCCCAGTGAAGAACCCTTTGCAGAACTGGACTTGTCCTACCACATGTGAGATTTAGGACGCCCTTCTTGGCTTCACACCTGGGACAGGGGGAAGAGATGGACTATGTGTGTATCCTGGCGGCTCTGGGCTCCGTGAGGCAGGATAACGTCAAGGTTGGAAGCTCTGGAGCCAGGCTGTCTGAGGTCAAGTTCCGGTTCCACCACTTGCTGGCTGGGTATTACTGGTCGAGTTGCCTCACCACTGAGTGCCTCAGTTTCCTCATCTGTAAAATAAGGGTTAGAAGTCTCCACTCCATAGGGTTGTTGTGAGGAGTATATATATTATATAAAGTCCTTGGACAGTGTGCAGCACAAAGTAAGCGTGCTATAAGCTTTAGTTCTTGTTCCTATTATCTTTCTTTCAGCGTCTCTTCCTTCAGGCCCACTCCCAAGCTGAGAAAACCATAGCGTCCTTGTCCCCCAGGCCAGGGCAAGGGGCCCCTGGGGTCCTGGCAGATGGATGTTGGTTTGCGGATGAGGCAGAGGTCTCCCTGAGCAAGCTCACAGGGACCTCTGCACCCTGGGGCCACTAGCACTCAGGGAGGAGGGGAGCCCAAAGCTTGGGGTGGGCCAGGCACAGCCTGAGAGCCCAGAGAGGCAGAGGAAGCATGCTGCCAGGCCAAGAGCTGGGGCTGCCCCACCGGTCCCATCCGCCCTATCTCCTGCTTTCCCTTCCCCCTTGGTCTTTGGGGCAACGATTTGTGCTGGTTCAGGCCTGGAAATACCAGAAATACCAGAAACTAAAGTCGTCTCTCTTTGGGCGGCCACAGCACAAAACCAACCAACATGATCCTGCTATTAACCTCGATTAACTTGTAGAGGATTCCATCTCAGGCCCCCGTGGCTCCAGCCAAGCCCCCTGATGCTGGCCCCAAATGGCCAGGCCAGGGCAGAGGGTGGGCCGTGGAGAGTGGGTGGTGGGCAGTATCCTCAGGTCAAGGGCCGAACCAAGAACAGGGCGTCCTGAGCCATCAGGCCTGAGCTGCCCCCCGCCCCAGCGCTCAGCCTCTACTGCCTGTCCACAGACACGGGCACAGAGGAGGTGATTGTCTCCGTCTGACCACGGCGACTGCTCCCCAGGGCGGCCGAGAGCACAGGCCTGGGTGTCACAGAGGTAATTGCCAACCACGGGGCCAAAGCCTGCCCCCTCCACTCCTGCGGACACAGACACTCCAGCAAGAGACAGAAGGACAGTCACGGGCACACAGAGGCCCTCACAGGGCCCAGGAGAGGAGCAGGGCCTGTCTGGTCACACACCCAGCCAGCCACGCACACATGCACTACACATACACACACACAGGCACACACACAAACACACTCCCTCCCACCACCCACATCCCCAGAAAGAGGCTCACAGCAGCTACACCCCCTGAGGCACAGTTCCTAGGAGGATAAAAACACCCATTCAGGCAAGGGACGAGGGCAGGCACCAAAATAGAACCACTGAGCAGTCATGGGGCGGAAGGGAAAGAACAGGCGGCAGAGATGGACAGACCTGTGCTTGAGCCCTGGTTCTGTCACTTCCTGGCTGGGTGGCTGGGACCAGATCCCCTCCCCTGCCCAAACCTGCGCTGCGCTGTCTGTGAAATGGGCACAGATGGCGCTCACAGCCACAGGTAGCACCCCTCATCGGCAGTGGTGGTCAACAGTGGGGGCCGATGTTATTACGATTTACTCTTTTTAAAGGTTTAGGAAGCAAGACGGTCTCAGGAATGGGCCGTGCCTCAGCAGGAAGGGTTGGGGCAGGACCACAGGGCGGAGGGACCCCTCAGGGCCCGGGGCTGTGGGGAAACACAGGTTTGAGAGGGAACCAGACCTGGGTTGGGAGTCCAGCTCTGCTCCTTCATAGCTCTGTAGTCTCAGTACGTCAGTTCACCTCTCCGACCCCATCTTGTCTCCCACAAAACGATGCTAACATCACCAGTCTTCTGGAGAGGTTGTGTGAACAGTATCCCACCGGAGCTAAGAGCCACGAAGCTGGGCTGCCGGGCTGCTCAACCACGTCCTGTGTGATCTGGGACAAGCTAAATAGTCTCTCTGTAAAATGGGGACGATAATGGGACTTAGCTCCCGGGGTGCCGTGAGGATGACACGCTCAGCACGAGGACCGCAGGGCAGTGCCCAGTGTGCAGGAAGGCAAGGCCATTGGTACGGTAGGACTAAGCACCAGCACGTGTGCCCTGGCCCAAAGGGCTGACCTGCCTCTCTCTCTTGTGCGCCTCCATGTCCAGAAGGCCTGTATACCCCTCCCCTCGAAAAGGAGGGTGCTGGGGAGGAGCCCTGGGACCCAGCCCTGCCCTCCCTCTGCCTCCCACAGGGACTCGGGAGGCGGCCTTCGTGTACGCCATCTCTTCAGCAGGTGTGGCCTTTGCGGTGACGCGGGCATGCAGCAGTGGGGAGCTGGAAAAGTGTGGCTGTGACCGGACAGTGCACGGGGTCAGCCCACAGGGTAAGTGCAGGAGGCAGGAGGGCATAGCGGGAGGGCAGGGGCCCGGGCCATGGCCCTCGCTCACCCGTGGCCCCCATGCCCACCACGCCCCAGGCTTCCAGTGGTCAGGATGCTCGGACAACATCGCCTACGGCGTGGCCTTCTCACAGTCGTTTGTGGACGTACGGGAGAGAAGCAAGGGGGCCTCGTCCAGCCGGGCCCTCATGAACCTCCACAACAACGAGGCTGGCAGGAAGGTAGTGAGGCGCGTCCCCTCCTTGTAACCACTAGGGCAGGGGTGGGCTCGGCCAAGTCCCCACTCTTCTACCCACATGCCGCTCAGAAAACATTTGCCCAGGCTCTCACCAGCACCAGGCAACTCCTCTCGGCCGGTGGGGTACGGGGCAGCGGGGGAGAAGCAGACAGGTGAGTAGGTGTCACAGAACAGCACGGGTGGCCCGCGATGCACCACACACATCCCCAACACGCCCCCACCTATGCACATATATGTACAGAGGTGTGTGTCTCCATCCCTCTGTCACACACACACAACCCCCTAATAAGTAGCAGAGCTAGGATTTGAACCACTAAGATCATGTGTTTAACTATGACACCATCTGCCTTCTTGATACCTACTCTTCAAGGTTCCCATGCAGATTCAATGCAGCCATGTTCCCCATCATGTCATTTGTCACTCAGTGTTTCATGTGACACTATCCTTTAAAATGTCTCTCCTCCATCAACTCCGAGTGCCTCGAGGACAGGGATGGTACCTTCTTCAACTGTCCCCAACACAGCTTACCAGCCCACCATGGCATACACGAGTAGCTTACTGCAGAGGAAGCGTGACAGTAAATCTTTCTCCAATTCTGCGGCATCCCCCCAGGTGTGCTCTGGCTGTCTGCCCCCTAGACACCTCCCTAGCCTCCCCTGACATCTCCTGATGGCCCCTCTCTCCTTCCCATCCCTTGCAGGCCATCCTGACACACATGCGGGTGGAGTGCAAGTGCCACGGGGTGTCGGGCTCCTGCGAGGTAAAGACGTGCTGGCGAGCCGTGCCGCCCTTCCGCCAGGTGGGCCACGCACTGAAGGAGAAGTTTGATGGCGCCACCGAGGTGGAGCCACGCCGTGTGGGCTCCTCCAGGGCGCTGGTGCCTCGCAATGCACAGTTCAAGCCGCACACGGACGAGGACTTGGTGTACTTGGAGCCCAGCCCAGACTTCTGCGAACAGGACGTGCGCAGTGGTGTGCTGGGCACGAGGGGCCGCACCTGCAACAAGACGTCCAAGGCCATCGATGGCTGCGAGCTGCTATGCTGCGGCCGGGGCTTCCACACAGCTCAGGTGGAGCTGGCTGAGCGCTGCAGCTGCAAATTCCACTGGTGCTGCTTCGTCAAGTGCCGGCAGTGCCAGCGGCTGGTGGAGCTGCACACGTGCCGGTGACTGCCGCCCCGCCCTGTGCCCAGCAACCACCTAGTGGCCCAGGGAAGGCCGATAATTTAAACAGTCCCCCACCACCTACCCCAAAAGATACTGGTTGTATTTTTTGTTTTGGTTTGGTTTTTGGGTCCTCATGTTATTTATTGCCGAAACCAGGCAGGCAACCCCAAGGGCACCAACCGAGGCCTCCCTGAAGCCTGGGCCTTCGTGGCTGCCACTGACCAAAGGGACCTTGCTCATGCCTCTGGCTGTCCACATGTGGCTGCTGCTGACCACTCAGTTGTTATCTGTATGCATTTTTCTACTTGCAGACTTAAGGTGGGTAATGAGTGTTACAGCCACATGCCTACTGACCCTGCCATCTAAGAAGTGGCCCTATGGCAGGGGAAATCGATGCCATCTTGATGGAAGTTGCACCCACACATACACACGAACCCCTGGCAGCTTCAGCCTGGTAGCCTTGTCTCTGAAGCCCCCTGGAAAGGGAATGGGCAAATACCAGGTCAAGGGTAAAGGGTCAATTTCAGCCCTCCATGAGCCACTGGAGGTTCAACCTCTGTGAGACCTTCCAGGCAGGAAGAGCAGGTGAGATGAGGGCAAGAGAAGGCTACAGTGCCACCCCAAAGCCAGCCCGCCCAGCATCCCCCTCAAAGACGGAACCCCCCACTGCCTGGTCCTCCAGGCAGGAGTACAGGCTGCCGATCCTCTGCAGTGATGCCCCGTGTGTCTCCTCTTCACGGTGCTCCTCCTCTGTGAAGCTAGGAATGGAAATCACACATGCAGGAAAGGCCGTGCAAAAAAGCCCTCTCCCAACTATTATTTCACTCATTCACCAAATGTATTCAGCAAAAACTATGTTCTAGGCCCTGTACTGAGCCATCTCACTGGATGACCATAACAGTCCTGGGATGCTTGTGCCCATTTTACAGCAGAGAGGGCAGTGCTCAGCAGGGGCCCCAAGCAAGCTGGGTGCAGAGGCAGAGCCAGAAGAGCCCTCTAGTCAAGATTCCTCCTGGATGCCTGTGCCCAAAAACCCAGAAACTGCAGGTCTCTTTGGAGGTCTGAGTCTTGGGGAGGGGGCCCTCGCTGGAGGAAGAGGGGCCAGGAAGCAGCAAGAGCCACAGACTACAGGCTGAGCTAGAGCTCACATGGGTCCTGAGGGCAGAGCAGGCTCTGAGGGAAGAGGTAGACAGCTAGAAGGCTGACGAAGTGAGGTCTCAGCAGCTAAGACACCCCTGGCCCCCGGTACCATGGGTACTGAAGAAGAGGCGCCCAGGGGCAGCAGCAGCAGCCCAGGCCTGCCCCTGTGCACCAGCCAAACCGTCAGGAGCCCAGCCCAAACTTCTGTGAGCAGGACATGCACACAAGACCTGGCCCGACCCAAGTGCTTCTCAGGTGGGCTCGCCACCACCAGAGGAACTCGCTGTCAGCCCAGTCTCCAAGCTGCCCTCACAGTGGGGCTCTAGGCTCCTGGTTTAAGGTCTTGAGCTCTGGGATTCCCATTGGAAGTTCTCAGCCCCTAGGCTTTTGGCTCCAGGGTTCAGCATCTGAATTCAAATCCCAGATTCAGAATATGGGCTCCAGCCGGTATAAGCTCTCCTCCAGGCCTTGTGGTTTGTGCCTCCTGGTGTTGGCTCCCTCAGGAAGAAAGGGTCAACACCCCTGGCCCCCCGGCAAGCTCTCTGCTCAATGTCCATCCAAGAAGAAGGCCAAAACCAAGTGAGATGCTGGAGCCACATTTCAATGTGGGGATAATCTTGGGGCAGGAAGGCTCTGATGTGGATGAAAGCTGAGCCGACAGAGTGTCCCCACAGCTGCCCAGCTGGGCTTACCACTCCTCTGGCGGGCTCTGTTCAGCCATCCGCTCAGTGCCAGGGAAAATACTATCCCTCACTGGTAGAGACCAGACCCAAACCAGGAGGCAGTGGAGACCACTCCCTCTCCAGAGCCAGGGCTGAGCCACTCTCCTCCACCCCAGGTCCTGTCCTCAGAAGCAGCGGAAGAGTAGGTCTAGGCTGGGTGCTGGTAGGATGCGTACTGCCCCAGGAAGAATGGAGACGGTCTGTGCCTGTTGGTAGGCTTCACCCTTTCACCTGCCAGGGAGCTCCTCAAAGCTGATCCTCCTGGAGCTGTAAGGATGGAACCTCAGGGAAGCAGACTAGATTCTAGGAACCTCTGCCCTGCCCTACCACTACCAGTACCCCAAAGCCCCAAGGGATCCACAGCCAAGGAGAATGGAGTTTCCTTGGACACACCCCCCTCCAAACTGTCCCAAATAGAGAAGGAACCAGCACAGGCCTGACACAGTCCACCCACTCTGGAAGCTGGCCAGAGGGTCCAAGTCCTGCCCGAAACCTTCTCCACTAGTCTTGCCACAAGGCAAAAGTGATGTCCTCTGAGGCCTAGGGCTGGATCAGCCCCAGCTCTGGATGCTGCTACCCTCTCTGCTGCCCCCACCCCATCCTCCAATTTTTATACTAGGCTCCTTGCAATTGTGACATCCCCATGAAATAGCCTGATGCACGATAAAATGATTATTTCTTTATCTTGCAATTGTGATAGTGACTTTTTTTTCACAGAAGAGGGAGGAGAGAGACTGGGGGAAGGACAGGGGAAGCAGTAGTATATCATACCAGCAAATTCTAGACATGGGCACCCTCTTTGTCCTCTGGTCTGATCTGTTTGATGGCCACTGAGGCACGGCCCCCCTGCATGCTCCCTGGAAGTCACCTTTAACACACAGAGGCTCTATCTGCACTTCACTGAGCCATGATCAGCTATTTAAACCTCGGCTTGAGCCAAGGCCTCAGAATCCTCCAGTGCTGATGTGGAGAGGAGGGATGAATACAATGACAGAGGAGGGACTGGTGAGGGGTCCCAACTGAGAAGGTAGAGGACAAATGTAACACAACTGAGTTCCTGCTTAGTTGCTGCCCAAGGACACACGGATCCAAGGCCTGTGGCTAGAAGTAAACTCCAGGATTGGAGCACAGTCAGGATGAGGAGTCTGGATGGACAACTCCATATAATTCAAGTCACAGCTGATGGGAAAACCCAAGGTGGCTTCTCAGGAAGCTCAGTCTAATGGAGTGAAGTCCTCATCTTTATCAAGGGGGCCATGGCCTGTTCCCATGGGCCCCACTGAAGCAAATCCATACCAGCCTGGGAACAGCTAGGCAGCCAAGTGCTTGGTTTTCCAAAAGCGTAGCAGGGTATGAAAGGGCTGAAGGAAAGTGCTTTCAAGACAGCAAGCGTACACAGGAATTTGTGAAGAACTGGGGAAGGGATATCAGACAGAGAGGGGAAGGGTCTAGAGGACAGGTAGATAGACAAGGATATCTCACCCTCAAATCAGGGTCAAAGCAGAGAGTCTAAGGGGATATAGAGAGGAAATACAGAAGGTCCAAGATGGTGGAGTGAGGAAGTGAAGTTGTCTATGCCCAACCATTTTCTAGAACTGTGGAAAGGACCCAGGCTTTGCAATCAGACAGACCTGGGTTGGAATCCCAGCACTGCCACTTCTTCACCCGATATGGAACCTTGAACAACTCATTGTCCCTCTCTGGCACTCATTTTCTTCATTCATAGTATGGGAATGCTCCCCCTGCCCTAACTTTAAATGGCATTAAATAATTATAGAACCTATTTCTTGGGGATGTTAAATAAAATAACATGTAAAGCTCAACATATGGCAGCTATTATAACAAATACTATTATTCCCTTTTCAGGAATGTAGGAGGCAGTTAAGGTAGCTCTAAGACTGAGGGGGCCAGAAGAGAGGAAGAAATAAGGAAGAAGGCAAAGTCAGTGTGGGATCAGTTAGGGGCTGAAGGCAGGTGCCCCAAGAGTGTGGTCCTACTGTGGCCCCATCCCAGAGATCATAAGCAGGCAGATGTCTCAGGGCAGAGATCCCTAGGCAGGAGACAGAGAATCCAAGGACCAGGACACCCTGGCGGCAGCACGCAAGACAATAGCAAAGCTGCCCCCAGGCACCAGCAGGAGAGGCCGAGCCAAGGTCCCAGTGTGGGTGAGAAGCAGGGCTGGGGCAAAGAGCAGGGACCAGGGAGGGCACAGTCAGAAGTGGAGCTGGGAGAGTCAGAGCTGTAGGATGCCTAGGTAGGGGGGCACAGGGGGCTCCACCTGTGAGGACGGGAAGCTTTCAGGACTCCCAGGCAGGGTCAGCTCACGGAGAAGCTGTGTCCAGATCCATCTTTGACGGTTGTTCTCAGAGCTCAGGCCTGAAGGTCTCTGAGAAGGTTGTGAAACCATGTGATAAAGTGGACCTCCTTCTCAGCCCCTTCTTGACAGCCAGTCGTCCAAGGGAAGTCTGGGGAGACCAGAGGCATGGTTTAAGGTGACTCAGGCCACAGAAGGGCCAGAGAACACAGGAAGACAGAGGGTAGAAGAAAGCACAGAATTTTGGGCAACTGAGTGCTACGAAAGGCTGAGCAATAGAGTAAGGAAGCGGCAGAGGGTGGGAGGACAGATGCAGGAACAGAGAGACATAAGAAGAAAGGAAGTGGGGGCTGGCCAGGGGCCGAGGGGTTAAGCTGGTGCGCTCTGCTTCGGCAGCCCAGGGTGTCACTGGTTCGGATCCTGGGCGCGGACATGGCACCACTCGTCAGGCCATGCTGAGGCAGCGTCCCACATGCCACAACTAGAAGGATCTATAACTAGAATATACAACTATGTATTGGGGGGCTTTGGGGAGAAGGAGGAGGAGGGGAAAACAAAAAGGTTGGCAACAGATGTTAGCCAGGTGCCAATCTTTAAAAAAAATTAAAAATTAAAATAAAATAAAGGTACGAAAAAAAAGAAGGAAGGAAGGAAGGTGCTAACGGACCGAGGGCATCTGGGCAGAGGAGCTCAGCAGCTTCCTAGGAAGAGGAGAAAGTGCTGAGCTTCAGGAGAAGGCATCTGACTCAAGAAGAGGGGGATGTCTAAGGGATGTGGGAGAGGGGGGTGGAGCGTGGCCTGGCCCAGGCAATGACTTCATAGGCATCTCCCCCCACTCCTTCCTGAGCCGTCAGCCCTGGTGACCCCCTGCCCGCATCTCAAGGGTCTAGGCCAAGCAGGCGCTGACAGGGAGAGAAGGGGCCCTTCTGGGGCAGGCCCCCAAGCCTGGCATAGTGCCTGCTGGAGAGGAGGGGCCTACAGGCCCAGCCCTTGTCAGCATCCCCAGCCGGCACTTCGGAGGCAATTAGCAGCCCAGCTGAGCTAATCCCCCGCCTGGCAAGGCCAACACAAACAGGCCCAGGCCGGGTGCACACTCGCCTCCCTGTTTGCTGAGGGGCCCGGTGGTCCGCCAAGAACAACACCAATAACCCAGGGCCTTCTCTAGGTTAAGAGGAGGACCGGGGCTTGCTGAAGGGCTGACAGTGCCCAACAGAGCATACGCTGGCCTGGCGCCCTGGCTGCCCCAGAAAGGCAGCCACTGTTCCCAAGCCTTGGGCCAGCCAGGAAGAGGAAGCTGGACACAAGAAGCCACATACTCTGATTCAGCACCTACCCCCACCCCCACCCATGCCACCTGTGAGGGAGAACAGCCAACTCAGGCTTGTGCTGCCTTGGCCAGGCCAACAACTGAAGCCAGGAGGGGCTGGGCACTCTCGTCAAGAACCAAGGATCACAGGCTCCGTGCTGGACACGGGAGCCCAGAGGCAATTCAGACCTGACCCTGCCTTCATGGGGCTCACGATCTAGTGAGAGAACAGACTGTGTATGACACTGGAGGAGGGCCAGGCTCTAGCCCTGTCAGCAACCCCTCCAGACTTGGAAAGGTTATAGTAGAACCCTCCCACAACTGAGAAGGCAAAGGGGGACCCAGGACAAGAAACAAATTGAGGCCCAGATATTGATAAATGGGGGAGATGGTGCCAAGAGAGGCAAGAGAGATCCAGAACATACTTTGGCATAGACTGGTACTGGACCAGGAACTGGCTCCTCTGAACTTAATTAGTTCAACCCAGTCACCACTGGAAGAGCCCAGGCCCCAGATGAGGCCCTACTCCTGCATCCCCACTTCTTGATTCCAGCTCAATTTCACCTTCATCAGCCCTTGGCCCAGGACCATCTCCTTTCTGAGTCACATCCTTTATCCTCAGTTTGGTCCCTCACTTACCCAGGTACCTGTGGGACTTCGTAACATTAGGAACTGCAGGCTCGTTGGAGCAGCTACTTGGGAAAGTCACATGGCCTCCTTGAATGGGCCAGGCTTCCTCAGGACACTCCTGATGGTCCACATGCAAGACTATGACCATTTACTGAGCATCTGTTGACTGTGGGGTCAGGCCCACACTAAACACCACCTACCAGCATTATCCCATGTAATGGTCACAAGCAAATCACGGAAGACAAATATTTCCTGTTGGATAAACCAGCTGGGAGGCAGGTGTATGACCTATCCCCACTTTACAGAAAAGGAGACCAAGGCTCACAGAAGGGAAGAGACTGGCTACAGCCAGAGACCAGATATTCCGGCTCCTAGTCAGTCAGAGTGTAGTGTGTCACTGGGCCCCTCCTCCAGTCCCACAAGCCTCTCCATTTTCCCTCACCCCACTGCTGGCCTAGACTTACACTGATGCTTCCCGGGCCAAAGGGCCTCAGAGCCTTGAGCCCAATCCCTCCCCACAAAGCAGCATTATCTGTCTTTGGCTGGGATAAGTTCAACTCTGTCACTCTGTTGGGGACACATATATCACTCTGCAGACGACAGCTTTCTCTAGGGCAGAGGGTGAGGAAGGCTGGAGTCGCAATGCCAGGGCTGACAAAGACACAGCTGGAAGCAGCAGCCCTGCCCACCATCCCCTGCCCTGGCTGGTATAGCAGAAGACTTCAGGTCCAATTCCAAGCCTTCCACATAGGCTGTCAGGTTCCTGCCCACAGCCCAAAGGGGCTGACAATCCATGGTCCTAACTCTCTGTGGGATGCTCCTACACCTGGCTCTAGAACATCTAGCCTGGACCAAGGTATAGTTGAGTAGATGAATCCTCTTCCCCTTTAGTTCAGCCAAAAAGGGAGGTATTTTTCAAAAAGATCTTCTAAGAAACTGAAGGAAAACAAAGGGGTCATAAGTACACAGAAACAAGAAGATTCCGGAGCAGGACTTTAACCAACACCTCACCAGAGCCCTACAGGCGCCACTTCTCCCTTCCCTCCTCGTGAAGCCTCGTTCTAGACAGCAGGAGACCTGGGGTCTCAGTCCAGCTCCACTGCCGGCAGCCTGTGGAATCTGAAGCAAGTCAGTAACCTCTCAGTCTCATCTGTAAAAGAGAGATGAAGACGACGGCAGAGGCCAGGACCAGAGCCGGTTCTAACTCCAGAGCCTCTGTTCTACACAGCCTCCCCCCACCCCCCACCCCCAACATTACGGTTGTTGGAGGACCAAACGAAACACTGAATGGGGAAGTGCTTTGTGAGCCGGGAAGAGCAGAAGGCTCACTGACGGTTGTCACCAGCCAGCAAGCACTCTGGCTCTTTATTTAAGAGTGAAAGAGAGTGTGTGCTGGGGATGTGGGGATGGCATCGTAGGTTCCTCAATCCATC